AGATATGGATATGGTGCATAATCTTAGGGTGCTTAACATGAGTAATCAAATATAAACCCTTCTTTCCAGTGGCTGTAGATCTAAGAGTTGTAAATTAAAAACATTTTATTTCCCCCTATTTTTCTTAATCGGATCATATCTTCTTTATTCTAACTCGGATTTCAAATTTTTTTTTTTTTTGCACAGATGGAACGAGTTCATTGTGCTCTACAAAATAATATCCATTTTCAATATTTTTGGGAAAAAAATTCATACCTCTCGTTACGAACTCCATATCATATGATATCTCCTTCGTTTTTAGTCGTTTTCGGAAATTTTTGCACAAAAGGAACGATTTAATCATGATCTATTGGATTTCAAAAATTTATGAGTGAAAAAATTTCATACCTCTCGTTACCAACTCCATATCATAGTATACCACTCTAGTATGGGGTAGTATTTTTCATACCATATGGTATAGACTGGTAATAACTAGCTCAAATTTTTGTTCCAAAATATATCAAAGTGGATGTCATTTTGAAGAGCACAATTAATCTGATTTAACCGTACAAAAAAATTTAATTCTGACTTTAAGCGAATGAGAAATCGTCCGTTAAAGATTAATGGGAGAAAATTAAAGGTTTTTTAGGAAAAAGAAAGGGCGTTGATGTGGCAGATTCTGATTGAGTTATCCATATGATTATTGACCACAAGGTTATGCACCTAATCCACTCTCCTTAGCAAGTGCCGAGGATAACCACAACCGAGTTTCCTCCACTTTCAGAATTTCGTAGGAAAATTATTAGATAATTAACAGCATAAGTTATATTGCACTTTTCCTTAAGGAAATATTAATATTTTTTCCCACAAGTACTATTCACAAGTGTACTAATCTTCTACACCTAATTTCACTATAAGCTCTTTATTATCGGTAGATTTTCTAATATTAGGTTTTTTACACCACAATTTAATCAAATGTTATAAAAAAAATTTCTTAATGTGATCATATCATTAAATCATAAACCCTTTATAATTAGACTGATGTTTCCTCGGAAAAACCAAATACCACCGCCGTGCGATGTTGATTTGATGTCTCGCGGTGGAAACTCTTGCGGTGTCGTTTGATCGAATGCACCGCTGATTGCTGAAATCGAGACGACCGTCAAATATCCGCCGCCGAATGTCGGCGCCGTTGATTTGATCGATGCACCTCTGAATGATGAAATCAACGTGACCGTCAAATATCCACCGCCGTGCGATGTTGATTTGATCGATGCACCTCTGACTTCTAACCAAGAACGACCGTTACTACGGTTCGCACCTCTCCAAACTACGTTCGAACGAGGGTGTTTAAGTTTTGAGGAATCTACGCTACCGCTACTCCTATGGAGATTCCTGTGGAGAGCTCCGCGACTACGACTAAGACTACAACTATGGAGATCCTTCCTGGAAGGAGAGCTCCGCGAAGGAGTTACAGAGAAAAAAGGTAAAGTTTGACAGATGTGTTTCTGTGTTGATTTGGTTGTCCCTCTCTCTCCTTGCAGGGTTGATTTTATCTAAAACCAACTTCGTAGTCTTCATGCTCTGTGGAACTGCTTCCTCAACTGCTCCGTCCTGAAATCCCACGTGTCTCAACTGCCTTGATCTCCTCTTTCTGCTTTGCGTAAAAGTCACGTGCACACACATCAACTTTGTACCATGGTTCGAATCACGATACCGCCATCGATTAAAACAACATTGTTGTTTCACCCTCGTCACCGCGTACTCGCCGCTAGATTGTTGACCTCTCGGCGTCGTTGACCACACAAGCCTTCGTTGAACTCCGCGATGTTGCTTTGGCCTTGCGGCATCATTGAACTTCGCGGCATTGTCGCACTAGCAACGCCGCTAGATTCGCGACCGCGACATATCTCTCCACCGGAATGTTGTTTAGCTCGCGGCTTTATCAACCACCGCGGTATCGCTGATTCCTCACGCGATATCGTTTTCAAGCTCCGCGGTGTCGTTTTCTTCTCCAAACAGTTCTGTTTGCTCTTTTTTTTTCACGACATTGTTTAAATATTTAATCACTGTCGTTTGCTAATACAACGGTACCGTTGGGCTTACTCGCGGTACTGTTTTTAATTAAACGACACCGGTAACATAGCCAAAAAATTCCAATTCATTGAACCGCGGAATTTAGGCCCTTCACTTACCCGATATGATTTTTTTTATTTAATCGGCACCGCTTATCAAGGCCTCTCGCGGCATCGTTTTTAAATTCGCGGTACCGTTTTAATTCTCCGCGGTACCGATTTTCCCCTTCCAACAAGGAATAAAAATAATAATTAATTATAAACAAAAAAACTCCTTCCCCGACACCTACACTAAAACGCGCGGCCCCTTTTATTTTCCAATAAACGGTGTCGTTTCCAGTGTCGCGGTACCGCTGAGCTTCCTTGCGGTACCGTTTTAACTCATTCGCGATGTCGCTTGTCGCGGTGCCGTTTTTTAGCCAAACGACACCGTTTCCCAGTCTCGCGATGCCGTTGAGCTGTGAGGTTCGCTGCACCGTTTTATCTCTTCGCAGTATTGCTTGACTCCAAACGGTGTTGTTACTCTCCTCCTTCGACAAGGAAAAATAAAATAAAAAACATTTCTTGTCCAACAGCAACACATATCCTGCGCATGACTCACACAGGGTCTGCAATCAATGTCGTTTCAAGTACCGCGATACCGCGAGCCTCTTCTCGGTCTCGCTTAAATTCTTCGTGGCATTGCTCGACTCCAAACGACATCGTTTTGGGCTTTTGGCCATGCGATATCGAAGTAATTGCTGTGACTCATTATTACGGCATTGAATTCAGGCAAAAAATATTCTAGGTGTAAACAACTGCCCATTACAAAAAAATTGCATAACACTTTTATATAACAGTTATATAATTACAAATATTCACATCAGCTTAATCAAATAATTATTATCAACTAACGAAAGGGGAAATCTGCGTGCAACGCCTCCAAAGCTGCAAATTGACATTTTGTTGCTTTGGCTTGGTTGCTTAATTAGTTACATAACAAAATTTGAAAATCTAACTAAACATGTTTTTCTTTAATGGTTTCCACAATTCTTAAGACCACAACATAGAACAAAAGTAGACAACCGTACTAAACATTACAACCGTTTAATCAAATTTTATATTTTCTTAACGTGATTTTATCATTTTACCATAAGTTCTTTATCATTAGACGACACAGTAGAAAAGATTTGTGTAAGACATTTTTTATAACAGTTATGTAATTACAAATATGCACAACATTTTCATCCAATTTTATATTTTCTTCACGTGATTTTATTGTAGACGATGCCGACTGTCACGACTGTGAACAGATGTCCAGCCAGCAGAAAGGCGTACGAGGAGGTGGCGCCGCCACCAAGGGGTGTTTCCGGCCGAAGAAGTCGGCACCCAACCCCGCTATCGTGCCGAGAAGATTAGAAAAGAGGGTTTGCTGGACGCAGGTTTGTTACGCCAACACTCTCACGATAGCGCCAACATGTTGGACGACCACCAGTACGATGGTAAGGTGGTTAGGTCTACTCATGTGTTTTTCGCTAACAACGGTCATCCGTACCTAGACGTCGCGAAATCTTGCGATAACCGTACAAAAACAGAGAAAAAACAAGAGAGTTATATAATTAATTTTCCCAAATACAAATTCGTCCCTCTTTTTTGCCCAAATATACATAAGAAAGAGAAAAAAAACTAATAATCTTGTATAAAAATATTAGAAAACTGAGTGCCCCAATTTGAAGTATCACCCACCACAAGAAGAAAGAAAAAAAGAGTTGACAAAGGGGAATATTTGATGACTTTGCTGGTTGTAATTGTAATTATGGATTCTATAATAATTAAGGGGTTGCTTAGTCACTTGACTAACTCCCTCTCAACACTTAGATCTGGACATACTAATCTGACGGTTAAAAAATAGTAAGTGATTTTTAATTAATGACATCGGTAGTTTGGGTATTATGAAAAATTATAAAGTATACAATTCATATTTACAAACAATACAAACATACAAACATTACAAACTAAAACGACAATATATACAAACAGATTTATAAACAATACAAAGTAGACCGACAAACAATACAAATCATACAAAATAAAAAAAAACAATCAGGTTGACTTTGGAGGCTCTATTCCTTTATAGAGGGTTCCGTCCCAAAGTCAATCCGGTTGTTTTTTTTTTCACATACGAACATTAAAAACATGGTGGTAAAAAATGACAAACTAGACCAACAAACCATACAAAATAGAAAAACACCCGGTTGACTTTGGAGGTTACATCTCTATATAGAGAAGTTTCACCCAAAAGTCAATCATGTTGTTTTTTAGACATAAAATACATTACAAACATGAGTGACAAAAATGACTAACATGGTGGTCAAAAATAACAAATCTTACAAAAATTACAAAAGAAACCGATAAACATATCAAAATAACAAAACTTACAAACATTACAAAAGAAACGACAAATAATACAAAACATACTAACCGTACATAATACCACTATTTACAATACAAATCGGTAAACTTGTATTACAAATCAATGAATACAAAGTATACAAATCATAACATAAAAGTATACAAACTAGAAAAACGAACATTACAAATTACAATATATACAAAATAGTCATATAAATATTACAAATATAATAGACAAAAATGACAAACAAGATTAATAAACTATACAAACCGAATTGATAAAAACATTACGAACTCAACGTATAAACATTACAATATAGGTCGACAAACATCATGAATTCAGCACTGCCGCCGAAAAATCCTCTTCCATCGTCTTTGGTCGCCGGAAAGCCTCCTCCACCAAAAAAGCGAACTGGAAAACTCTCTCTCTCACTCTCTCTGGGCAACGCACTCAAAGCTAATCGGGAATGGGATAAGCCAATGGCCGCCGAAAACTCATCACCACTAAAAATCCCTCACGCGGTGGCCGCAGGAAGCCCGAAAACCCAGCACGGAAAAAACCTTGAACAGGAAAGTGTTTTCTAAGTATTTAATAATGAAAAAAATAAAAATCCATGTAATTACTACTTTACCTTTTATTAATTGATCAATCTGAACCATTGAATTTTAATGAAATGAAAGGACTGAAATTAACTTAGCCACCTCATCTTAAAGCCCTAGCTAGGGGCATCTGATGTTTCTTCCACGACCTCCGTAGGACCTCAAATTATACTCGTTTGGCTATTTCCCGCTTTTTTCAGATCTATTCTTTCGAGTTGTCCAAGCAGGTGTCAAAGCTATTCGTATAATGTGTACTGTTGTGGATCGAAATCCAGAAAAATTTGGGGTCTAGAATGACAGACCAGAACATTTAATGCAAGATGATGGCAGTATCACATCTGAGGTCTCGTTTGAACGATATAGATTTTGCCATCTCGTACCACGCCTTCAATGTCTTGTGGAGATCCATACAACTCCTCAACTGCATGCCCGGCACTCGCAATCTTCGAGAGAGTCGACTTCTGGAAGTTGTCGTCGATCATCAGCGGATCAGACGAGTAGTCCAGCACCACTTTCTCTTCTTCGTCCATTGGCACACTGCATGATCGAGAGTGGAAGGCAGATGAACTTTCAAGGAAGGAGTGGGGGATTAACAATAATGATAGCATTTCTGGACAACGAGGAAAGCTTTTACCTGTCATACAAGCCTGCACCAGCATAGCCTTCAAGATCTTCGCCGTTGGAGTCCGAACGAAAGATGATTGAGCGTCTGATGAAGAGGCCAATTGGTTTGCTAGGATAACCCAAAACCTGAAAGCGTACGGCTCATAATTAGTTTGTGACTTTGTGGCCTTGTTTTTTTTATTTGACGTATTCGTGCAAGGTAGTCACAGCTTTGTTTACCAGTGGAGAGTCCAGGTCATTTTTATTGCAGATGAAACTCAAAGCACGACCAGGATAAGCTCCAACGAGAGTTTCTCCAAGTCCTTTCACCACCTGCAGCGAGAAGAAGTGGGTTTTAAAATCAAGACTATCCAATAGGACGAGCAGTAGTAAAGTTGGCGGTAGAGAGGAAAGAACCTCAGCATATATCTCTGAGGCGTTTCCTGAGGATGGATTTGTCGTGTGGATGACGAATGCATAATCAGCGTTTATGATTTCTTGCACCAGGACAGCCATGCATAGATAATCATGCTCCAGCTTTATTTTCTTGGTGCTGAAGTATGCTCTCTCGTTCCACTTGGACGCCCAGACCTGGGATTTGGAAGCAGTCATTCATCACAGCAATCTCAAAAACCAAACGAACCTTTTCAACAAGGCGCCAACTGTTCTGGTGTTTAGTTTTAAGGTCATGACGGCACATATATTGGCAATGTTACAAGCATGGCGTTTCAGAAACCGCTGGAAGCCAACGTCCCCTCTCGGCAAATGTGCAAGTCTATGGTAATGTTGATGTAATTCTCAGACTCCAAGTTAAAAGACGTCACAGTGGGCAATCGTTATGGACGATCAGACGATCACATACGATTGCCGCACAAGAGTTCCATACAGTAGTAGTTCCAGTTGGTCCTAAGTGCTGAGAGGACCCTTACCTTCTTAATAGCAGTCCATGCTTGCTCCCATCTCTTCTCCCCTTCATCACCTGGCCAAGGCATCCCAGAACTCTTCATCTTGGTTTGCAACTCTTTAACCTGAAATCAATTGTATCCTTCTATAGATAAAGCTCAATTTATCATATTCTTAGCTAGCATTGCTTGCAACAAAAGCAAGCATCATAGTCTGAGAAGATGGACTACGGTACGAAAAGGACCCAACAGTTTGGCCTGTCATGCAGTTAACATTTTGATAAGGAAAGGGTGCAAGAGGGACAGACTAAGTTATCCGCACGCCAATAAACTCTTATGGTTATTTTGTCATAGAAAATACCAAAGTAGTCAGCTGTGAGAGCTTGGGATTTTCAGTTTACGAATTACGCACCAGCTGTGGTGGAGGTAACAGCTCTAAAACAGTCTCCCGAATCTCCCCGAGAACAGCAAACTCTCCTCCATCCAACTTTCCCTTCAACAGTTGGAGCTTCTTCTCAACGTCCTGCCATTGAGGTGTCAAGAGGACATGTGAGACCAAAAGAATGAGGAAATTCTTCTCAAAATGTTGTGACATGAAATCTCCACCTTATTCAAACCATCCGCTAGAACCTCTTCAAAAACTCCGAAAGGTAAGGCCACTGATGTCGGAACACCGATCGATGAGGGAACTTTTCCCTTCAGATATGAGATATTGCGGGACTTGGCACCAACCTGGCAATTAGTTCCGCCGACACATCAACAATGAATTGAAGAGTGATCCGGCATCAACTAATGATTGCCTTAACCTAATGAAGTAAATAGAAAGTTACCATTTCGCCAGTGAACTCGTCCGATGATATGGCATATTTCCCCTTGAATTGCTTTTTGACCAACTTCAGAGATGAAGTACCAACTTCTGTTGAGCCAGTTGAACTGTAACTTTCCAGCTCATCCTCTTTTACTTCGCTGCAATTCAGTACAAAAATTTACTACTTATTAGTTCACAGCACATAATACACAAGGAATTTGCTATTTGGTCGCACATCCGTGTATCCACCATCAAAACCACTTCACCTATTGAGAGTACCTGTAGACTACATCTGCAGAAGTAGGTTTCAGACGCAATAGTTTTCCTTCTCTCACTTTGAGGTCGTCCAAAATGTTAGGGTCAAAACATGTAGCAAAGCAAACCTGCCGTTGATTTACACTTCCTTCTCAGTAATCACATCTTGAATATTTTTTATAATTGCATCTGAATTTACTAAACTGATACCTTGCCGTTTCTTGCACGGACAGATACATGTGATAGGACATCAGGCATGTCAGCTGTTAGCACAGCAACTGCGCCATCTGGTATTTCCTCTTCACCTTTCACTCTTCTTGCAACTATTATCGTAGGGCGGTCATAAGTTTTGTTCTGTACTGTGAGCAACTCCTCCACAACAACAACGTACCCAACTGCTTCCACTGGACTGATAACCTGCCAACTGCTTGCCACCAGCCAATAGTATTGCAGATTAACGTGTACACAATCACGCATTTGAAAAGCATATTTCGTCGAGCCATAACAAGATACCTAGTATTAAGTTGAATAATAAAAGTTCAATGCTGATATCAATTTATTTCTCATCCTTATGACATCAATAGTCTTGTTATTCCACCCAAAAAAATAGTCTTGTTAACCATTCTTAGAATCTTTGAGAGGTTCATTTACTAACCTTCCAAGATTTGCAGTCTTTCGTAGAACTGGATCAAGTCTATTAAGAAGTGAGGACAGAGCAGCAGCGGAACCACCACGGATCACCTCTTCCGTGAATATATTCACCTGTAATAAGAAATATATAAGGGCCGTGCATACACAAACATAATGTGCATGCGGAAGAAGTTATAAATCAGAGGAAAGAGTAGCGTACAGCCCACTGATCTACTCCAAGCAGTGATCCAAGATACTCTGCTGATGGCTGGAGAAGTTGCTGATACCACTCTGCCTTCTCAGTAAGGGAAAGGCGTGTTCTGTCCAAGATTGATTTTGCATATAACGCCCAGTTGCTACTCTTTGAGTTGCACATATTCATGGCATGATTCCATCCCTGGATAAGCCATGAACAACACAACATATCCCAAACGTTCAGGAGGCTCGGTAGTATCAAAATGAACGCGAAATGATGGCTGAGCCAGGGGTATCCCGAAACTCAATATACCTTTAAGCAGTAGATAAGATCTTCATTATTATCCGATGAAAGTGCGAGATTCTCAACCACCAAAGTAATGAAATACATCATTTTCTGCAAAATGAGCAAGTAGGCAGTCAAAATCTTAAAAGGGGAGAGAAAACATAAGCAGTTCAGCCAATAGAGAAATTCAAAGCATAGTAGTGTATAGCGGACCCAAAAAGTTTAAGTTAATAACACAACATACCTCAGGGCCAGCATCATTTAATTCCTCATATCCTCTTTCGATGGCTGTCCTAACAGCAGAATCAAGGGCGATGTCTAAAAACAAAACATCCTTCAGACGAGAATTAGCCTTGACCAGTGATGGCCTAAGCTCCTGACGAGCTTCAAGCAAACCCTATAAAGGGTTAAATATCGAATATATCAGCGACAAGGAGAGTGCATATCATCGACTTGAAACAAAAGCCAGGTTCTAGACATGCATTCAATTACCTCAAGAAGTGCTTCCACATTCCTGTCCTCCACATGTTGTAGGACATATTGAAGCAATTCCTGTTTCAAGAGACACAAATGAAGACAAGTGGTACTTCCAAAAATCTATGCTTGCTCGACATCTAGAAAATCAATTGAAATCAGAAATGCATATGTTACCGGAAAGCCAGATGGTAACCCTGAGACTGGATTTATCTGCACCCCAACCATAAAACCTTGCCCCTGCCAAGAATTATAAGTACATTCCCATCAAATCATTGAAAAGAGAGTATGCAATAGGGGATTCTATTGACTAGTTTTTTTTATTAATAAATGGTCTATTGACTAGTTACCTCTGCTCTATAACCCATACAATTTGCAACAGCAGACTCGAGATCCGCACCTGAATGCACTGCCTACAATCAAATGAGATCGAATAATAAATATGACAGAAGCCAAATCCACATATGGTTATAGGAAAAACACAACTTCATCAACAGAAACAAAACGAAGGCTGTTCCAACCAAATAAGCACATGATCTCATAGAAGATGTTTACTTTTGGCTTCCACACCTCCTAACTAGTTGCCCACCACTTGAATTTCAGGATTAAGATGAGAACTTTAATCATCCTCTGGTTATAACTCAGTTAATGCAGAATGAAGATGAGAACATTAATTAGGAAAAAGAAACCCAGAGTGAAGGCATTCCCCAGCTCAGCCCTCGATTCAACTGAAAAACTAAACAACAAGTAAGCAACAGAACATCAAGCTTATGCTGATAAATGGTTGAGGAAATGACCTTCAAGGTCCTCATATAGCTTCCAAGATCGCGCAGAAGACCATCCTTTTGATCTCTTCTGAAATTTGGTTCAGAATGTATGGCACGATCGTAACTTAGAAGTCGCTCTTTTGTGATTCCGTTTTCGTTCAAAGTTTTCCAATAAACACCGAGGTCAAAGTCGCAATTGATGTAATCAATCAATGCCTGGAAGAAAGGTCGTCCTTCAGAAGCTTGTAGAACCAAGAAAATTAATAGGAAAGTTGATGAAATGATAAATCACAATACCTGACAGATTATAACATCATCAGGGCTAGTGTTGTTGTGCAATTTTTGGTGCCATTCTTCCATCATTCCACCTTTGCATTCATTATTTCTCTTGAATCAACAAATCCATGTGTTAGACAGATATGTCAGAGACGGTAAAGAAAAGAGGAATGATGTCAATGTGAGGAAAGTGACACATGCTATTACAGACCTGAATAACCAATATTTCATCACGAATACGCTGTCCAACATCTCCTTCGCCTCCTCTTCCAACAGTTGACATTATCAGTCGCAAAAACTCTCTGTACTGTGGATAGGAACTATAAATATCCTGGAGCAAGTCAGTAAGCCTATCCTGGGCTTTACTAATCTCACTGCAACAACATACAAAAAATTATTAGTATTCTGCATTATATCACGTATATGTGAAGTTGTGGACCAGGGAGTAGTTTTCATGGGATTTAAATAACAGAGGAAGCAAGAGGAGAAAAAACACGTAAACCTTTCACATCAGTGTTATGAACCAACAAAAACAATTTGGCAACCATTTCATGCAAGCAGAAGCCTTATAAGATTTACCGTGGTTTGACATTGTAGTTTTTGTTCCATATAAGCTGCCGTGTAGCCATAAACCTCATCCACACAAAGATAGCGGCAACACCCAAGACTCCAGCATCCTTGGCTTGATCCATCAAATCAGATGCGATATTAAACCTAGAAGATAAAGGCACAACAAAAATGACCTTCAGATCATCATACAAACCTAAATCTGATCATACAGGATTGAAATTCATGAACTGTAAATTTCTAAAATATGCACAAATTGTAACCGGTGCATGAATGACTTCTGTGCTTCCTCTTCCATCTCTGCGATTCGATCCAATGTTCTCTTTGCCGTACCTCTTCCATCACCTGCGTCCTTTTCTCAAGAAAATTTCAGTCAATTAATTTGGAAAGGCTATGAGACAGAGTACATGAACGAATTCATGAGATTATCTAACAGAGAGAAACCTTTTGCACTTGCTTAGGTACGCTGGCAAATTCAACGTAGAAGTCTGAGCCTTTGTTCTTTATCCAGTTTCCCCTGGACAAGAGAACGAAAGGCATTCCTACGTAACTTCCATCTTCAATCTCTATTTGAAAGGACTGGACCTGGAAATAAAAGTGCTACCATGAGGAAGACCTCTTTGCATATCTGATGAACAAGCCAAACTACATATATATATATCTTGATGTTGCTCAAGCCGGCAACACTTATCCCACTGCCAACCTGGATGGCTGGATCCTATAACTACCGCACGTCTTAGATTCAGATGCCATAAGTTATCACAAAACCAAAACGACAGACTGCTAAACCTGATATGGAAGTTCAGCAGAAGACTTTGTTAGTTCAGTTTCAGCCGCTTGCTCTTTAGTAACTGAACCTGGGGGCAAGACACTCATAGGTGGTACCTGCAGAATATTATATGCATCACATATGCTGGATACTGATGCTATCAAGAATCTTCTCCGTCTTAGTTACTGTCTTTTTGGTAGATGCTGGTATTAGGTATCTTACCGACCACTCTCTAGGCTTTTTAGCCAAAGCCCAATGAAGAATAGTTGACTCTTCAAGGTCAGTAGCAATATTAACCTTGATTTTGCCACCAGGCTTGCTCACAACTACCTGCATAAAATGTGGAGAGTTTGGTACTCTGAGATAAGACGTGGTAACCGACACCAATACCACATGTATAATCTCACCAAAATCTCCTTATCTCCAAGCTTGTAGATTTTTTTGTTGATGATAGTGTCGCCATCTTGTTCTTCCACAGCTTTGGCATAAAGCTCAACTGGCTTTGCAGACTGTCGTTCAACAGGGATTGCTTGCTCTGTACAGTCAACTGTGTATTTAGTGACAATTTGTGTCAAGTCCCTCTCCCTTCGCTGAATCCTTCCAGGACCGAAGTGCTTTTTCTTGTTAGGCTGCTCAGTAACCTTCTTACGGGCATCGCCCTTTGTGATCTTCTTCCTCATCTCATCCACGGAGACACCTCTGTTAAGCTCAGCATGTAACTCGGCTCGTGCCTCCTCAGGCATGTTGCTCTTTGTTTCGGGCAACGGCGGCTCTTTAATTTCCGCTCCATCATTTTTACTATTCAGCTTTAGCCGGAGGTCTTCGATGGAAGAACCCTTGGCTACTTCCTCTAATAGCTCAGCACGAGCAGCTTCGTATTCCTCCTATCACGGCCGGAGAAACTATTATTTGTTTTGAGTTACAAACTACAAAGAGTATCTGAAACGGAGAATTATATGATCCTAGGAGAAAATAGATATAATGATAAGGACTAACAGCCTCTCGCTAACAAGAGGCCTGAACACAGGGCTAGTAAAATCGTGCTTGAAAAGGTACATCAAGAAGCTTGTATGAGATCATGCGGTCTGTAAACCATTCTGCTCTTGGAAACTAATTCAGGCTCAAAGAAATGCAAATGAGATGATGCCCCTGTAGAGGATATATAAGACAGATTTTATTCAACATTCTGCGAAATTTACTTTCGGACTCGCCTTGCAACCATTGCCATGAATGTACTTGTGGGGAACGATGCATAAAAATGAATGCTAAGGATGCTAATAGAAAGGATTTACAGGAGCCAAGAAAGCGAAGATATTCTACCAAAATGAAGAAAATATGGAAAATGCAATCTCCGCCCGTATTAATTTAACACTTTGCATGACAGACAAGTATACTTGCCTTCTCTTGTTGAGGACTATACATCTGTTTGCCTTTTCTTTCCCACCTGAGATATGCCTGAACCTGTACAAGCTCTTCAGGAACTGATAAATTTGGAACTGTCGATTTCTCTCTCGTAGGCAACTTCACATGAAAGTTCTGGCCACTGTTTTTGAACCTGCAAGTAAACAATGTTATCAGCAACCCAATCAGAAGATTCAGATGACAACCTCACAAAAGAATTCTAGTTAACTTGCAAAACAAACAAACAAACGTAAGCGAACCATTTATTTTGGGCTTCATCAAATATAAGGAATTCAATAGCTTGAATGTTGGGATCTTCAATCTCCAGTCTTAGGACAGAACTTGAACCAGCCTTAAGAGGGTGAAAGAAACATCAGACAGTACTCGACTGGATAATCACAAATTCATGTCCAAGAATTTTTTTAAATTGGATAATGAAGTTGATGAATCACTCCTGCTGGCTCGTACCTGTGAGAAAAGCGTTCTAAGAGCCCCATTCTTATAGTTTTTTGTTCCATCTCGGTTACGAGCAGGAAGCACCCATTTCCTAAGAAAGACAGAGAAGGAACATATATATATATATATATATATATATATATATATATATAAGTATGTAACTAAGAAAGTTCCACAAACCACTGCTGTATAAATTATACACTAGAAGAGCGTACCAGAAATCAAAGTCACATTGTGAAAGACTTCCATATGATGATTCACAACAACTTACTCTGTTTTATCGCGTATCCCACCCCAGTGGAGGATCAATGAGTCACTGCTGTATGTTATCTGAATATTTACAATAGTAACCGACCCAGTAGAAGAATTGCCAACGAAAACCTGTTCATTGTGAAGCATACAATGTATCATATGAGAAATTACCCAATTCAGTTCCCAAAAAAATACCAAGTATCCAAGAGTTTAATCAGAAGTACCTGCAATTCTGTACTGTCATCGAGTTTGAATTTACCTGCAAGCTGGTCCAAGGGAATGGTTGTGTTAAACCCATTAGAAAGGTGATGTATCACTAGTTCGCCTACAAAGAGGTGGTATGAGAAAGAAACTGACGTATTGACACTTTTGGGCATGAAAATGCAGGAGCTACGCCTATGATCCCATATAAGAAACGCAACTGCCCAACCACATCTCCATCTTCGGATCTAAAAGCTAGTAGTTGTCAAGCCGGGGATGTTACCTCGGATGGCGGTTCCATGGCCAGTACAGAGCGTGGGGTGAGTGCCACAGGGTGACTTGCCCCAACAGACACCTTTGATTTCCTCACTTTCAAGCTTCTTCCATAGAAACTGGAGGATGGTGGAGCCCTACGCGTTCGGACCGACGCAGCAGCCGCCGGTGGATTCACAGAAGCAGATTGGAACAAGGAGCTCGCAGGAATGCCAGAACAATTAGGTTTACTTCGGTGGTCGAGACCCGTGGGATGAAGCAAACTCTGGTGGAATGAATTGTGACCTATGCTGTTACTCATATTCCTCCTGATGACCTGAAGAAATCCACCAAATAACGAACGAGCACAACAATCCAAATTCAGAATGCAAAGGGGAAATGAGGTTACAGCCAGAATGCAGGGGGGGAGGAAAATCCAAAAGCACCACTTTCGTTGCAAAGTTCCCCGTTCGATCGAGCAATTTCCAACCAAATGGAAAGACCGTAACTGAAATTGAAATCGAATGATCGGAGAAGAAAACGGATCGGCGGAGCTGAAAACTAAATTCGCGCCAAAATTGTCAAATACGGAGCCCCGATGAAACTATACCTCCGGCGCAGAAAATCCTGATTCGAGGAACTGAAGCTCTGCGGAGCAAGGAAAGGCAGCGGTGGAGAGCTGGAAGAGTGCGTGCGTTCCTTGTACAAGGCTGTCCGGCGCGACGGACTCACAGTAGGAGCGGAAAGGAAAGGGAAGGAAAAAAAGAAAGAAGCAGAGGAGCGAGAGAAGTATGCTGTTAACCAGTAATAGGGGCCATCGAGCGCCACGTGGCGGGTAATGGTACGGCCATGTATGAAAATTGTCAGTTGGGATCAGTGAATTGTCACGTGCGAGGAGAGCGAGGGGGGAAACGTCTTGAGATTTGAGAAGAAAGAAAGCGTAGGGATGGGCCGCGACCGTAGGAGTGGGGTCCGACGAAGGTTTGATATTTTACGGGAAGGGATTGGGTAGAGATTTGAATGAAGTTACATGTCTTGTCACTGTCCCTTTCATCAATTTTTTTTTATGGTCACGCTTTCATCAAATTCATCATGCCTGTAATTTTTTCATTTTTGTGTTTTTTCCTTTAATTGGTATATATATATATATATTTCTTTCCTTGCTTTTGCAGGGGCCTCACATTTCTTTTTGTCGATTTTCTTTCCTTCTTACGTTTTTGTCAAACTAGTCGACGCAAAACCGAACGTTTATCAATTGTCCATTATACTTTATCAATTGCCCATTATACTTGACCAATAACCAACATTGATTGAGTTTGGTTCCTTATTCCACTACAATATTCGAATTATAAAAAAAAATTATATTTTAAATTATTATATATGATAATTCTAACACGAATTAATTTTCGTTAATGTCAACCGTTAGTATTTAACAGAAAATTTAGTCAGCATTAATATGGCATCTTACATTAAATTTTACGTTACACAGTATAAATGTTTTTTTTTTGCTAATTATTACTACTACTACTAATTCACGGTTGTAACCCTTCGTACGTAACCGTCAATCCAACCGATTATTTATAACGGTCGAACCCAAATCTAAAATACTAGGATGTTACAACTCACCTAAAAAATACGACTCCTCGATTCCTTCCTCGAAGAAATCCCTCCTTTGTCGAATTACCTCAAAAAATCTATGAATCAAAAATTCCTTAATAGTCGACCTTTCTCGGTCTAAAACCCCTTTTGAATCACTAGAACATGCTCTCCTCAAAATTCAGAACCAAACCTTTTTCTAAAGACCCGTTAACCTCCTTTCATTTTTTTATAGATGTTAGTCATTTCAAAATCGATCTTTTTCTAATTAAATTCCTCTTGAATGAATTTTTAACCCAACTTAATCCTCGTTAAAAATCCATACCATAGTTTTCCCAGGTGTACCATGACGATTAGTCTTCTGAAAAATTATCAAATCTTTAAAAACACCTTGACATGATTTTTAGTTAATCAAAATCAACATTCAATTTCTAAAAATAGTAAATCAGCTTAAATATTGTCAAATTAAATCACATGCACCTCACTTTCCTACTTCAATTTCTAAAAAATTTAAACTCAGAAACAAGGTACTGCATAGGTTTGAAATAATTTAAAGAACTTAAATAACGTTTTTGGAAATTTTCTGCAACTTTAGTGACTAACCAAAAAATTTCTCGGATAGCTTGTAAAACTGTCGCTAAATTTCTAGAATTGTACCCTGACAACAAATCACACAAACCATCGATCTAACTAGAATGGATCGAGTTCTCTTACTTCTAGAACATGCCTAGACTTAGATTTAAAAGCCTTGAACTTCGATTTCTTGGATTGGCCGCCAATTAAACCATGATTCCTTGTCGTCAAGCTACGGTTCAGATTGACGGGTTTAGGGTAGTTTGATTGATCAAACAAACTTGGAAACGACTTGGGTTAACGTCCTTACTTTCTCGCACGATTGCACGCTCGGGCTGGTCGAGGGAAAAGGGGAAAACCGACGTGAACGCAACCGGGGGGTGGGGGAAGTAGGGGTGTTCAAACAAAATGGTTACCATATTAATCGGGTAGTAGTTAGATGGTTTGGTTTTAATTAATTTGTATAATTGGTTTGGTTTGGTTGATTAAATTCTTTTGCTTATTTGATTTATTAACTGTCAGATAATTGTATTAGTTACATTTATTTATGTTACGGATTAACAATAACTACGTGTTGATTTTTATGTGTTATTCATCATATAAATTTTGAATTAATGCATTCACCGGGAATTTTTCTTACTTAACGATAATGTGATCTTATATTGGTTATTTTGGTTAATCAATAAACCAAACCGATTAACTTTAGTTTGGTTAATTTGGTTGTTGTATTAGTTTGGATGGTTTGGTTAATATATTATATACCATGATTAATAGAATGTAGACTTATTTGATTTGGTAATTACCATGTTAACCATTTAAACACCTCTAGGGGAATGGCGGTGCTGGCGACAGGGAGGGGGAAGGGTGGTGTTGGGCTTCCTTCCTTTCCTCCCGAAATAGCGAATGGGGGAGGGGGTTTTCATACACCGTGTTCGGGAAGGAGGGAAAAGGGAGGTGAGGGGAAATAAGGAGGGAGAATCCGATACCCAAGGAGTTTCACCCTATTCTCCAAGATTGGTACTGCAGGGAGTAGGGCTGGTATTCGGTTATGCGGTTAACGGTTTAACCGGTATACCGTTAATCGGGAGCTGTCGGTACACGGTGACAACATTGGAGCTGTCAGTATACCGTCTTCTATCCGGTTAAAAGCCTGCGGTTAGTCGGTATACCGAGTAAGCCGACTACAAAGCCCTCGCATAGAGGATTTCCACTGTCTCCCAACTCTGTCTCCACTCAGCAATCTCTCCCCGTCTCCAGACTCAACGATTTTGCAGGTCCCTCACAGGCCACTCGTATCAGACCAACCCCAACTCCAGCTGCGAAGGAAATCTGTCAATGACCACCCTCCGCCATGCCTCAGTTGCATCACGTTCCCGGCGGATTGAAAGCGGTGGCTTTCTCAATCCATATCTAAGACCGACATTGGATGGAGACGGTGGAACACGCGTTGGACGGAGATAGAGGATTCCATCGATTGTTTTGTGCTTGAGCAGCAGCCAGACAATATTTCAATCGACGAATCGAAATCTCGAGGGTTGAATTTGATTTCGGCGAATCAACAAGATTGCCTCTCCATTGCGGCAACGGCAACGACAGGTGGATCGATGAGTTCGTTCACAGCGCATTCTCTCTGCTCGCATAGGACGCCATCCACCACTCCACCACATCAAGAAGTGCGCGCTTCCTCGACAATCAAAACAAGCTTTGGTTGGGGAGATCGAGAAAGAGAGGAGGTGGGCGGCGATTAGAGAAGGGAAGAATTTGGAGGGGAGAACTGGAGAGTCGAAGAGATGGAGATTGGATTTGCATGCGGAGGAATTTGAGGCAGAGCAGCCGGAACTAAGGTGGGGGAAGATTCCGATCGGAGGTTGGTGGGGAGGTTTACCCAAGTGAAGAGGATGAGCATGCCTGCGGAGAGGAGGAAGAGGAAGCGAGAGAAGTGAGTGGATTTCTTGGCGGAGATTGTAGTTTTGAGTCTAGGTGGCGGCGGGATTTCAGAGAAAAAGCTTGGAAGGGAGAACTAGGGAGTCGAAGGCCTTCGACAGGGAGAGGAAGAAGTTTGATGGTGACGAATGAAGTTGCCGGTAATTCGGTAACCGGGTTGTTAACTGTTAGCCGGTTAGTCGGTAACCCGGTTAACCGGTTTTCACCCGGTGTCGGTTGTTGGCAGCCATTTGGGAGGTTTCGGTATATTGATAACCGACTAACCGGTTACCGGTTAACCGACAACCGACCGATTACCAGCCCTAGCAGGGAGGGGATGGAAAGTGAAGGAAATTGTATTGTAGAACATGACACTCCATTTTGGAGAGAAATGGAGAGAAAACAAAGGTTTGTTTTTTGTTGCAACTTGCACGTTGATTATGGGATTCATTATAACCCAATGAAAAGATTATAGATAAAGGACAAGCCCGGTGAAGGTACAATGAGTAAAAATCAAAGAGCCCATCCAAAAAGCCCACAAGATGAAAAAACTGTCAGCCCACCAGCGCCAAGAGATGAGCTGGAAGACATGGGAATAAAGGCATCATTTCAAAAATGAAACCCAAGCCAAAACTCATCCTGCTGCACAAACAAGGAGTCGCTGCTAAAGAACATAGGAGAGGATCGGAAGATGCCACGCCGGCAGTCTGATCAAAACTGGGCACGCATGCAGATGCAGGTCGCCTGAGGATCAAAAGGGGGAGACAACCAGAGGAACTACTAAAAGGTGAACACGCCCACGAGGAAACAAGAACACCCATGGACACCAGAGTACCAACATGAGTAGAATATTCCAAGCAGCCAAACTCCGGACCAGAGACCAACATCCATGGATGAAACGACAACCCTGCTCTCAAACCACAAGGAAGAGAAATCAAAATCTCGCAAAGAAGACAAATCTCCACCAAATCACCACGTCGTTCGGGTAAAGCAAGGAGGAGGACCACATAATCCTCGAAGAAAGAAAGCAAACGAAAGAGAAAATTTCCTTAGCTCACTCTGAAACCACACCCAAATCGGAGATTTGTAGCACAACAAATCAGATCTGGCAAAAGAAACCATCTCCAAAGAGAGGTTTGTAGAGAGTTCCACTTAGGGAAATGAAAAGAAGCCACTGTGGGCTAGAAAGACATGTCAAATGCAGCAAATGGAAGCAAAAGAAACAATAAAGGAAGAAGACAGATGCCGCCAGTCACCCTACTCATTAATAGAAACTTCAAATTTAAATAATTTTATATTTTGATAAAGTGGTTAATACAAACGTAGCATGTATACGGATTTATAAAATAGTATCGAGGTTCTACCGAATAACAAAAATAGTTTCAACAAACTTATTTAGGTTACACATAACATTATCTAACGTATTAGTTCAACAACACTTAATTATGTCATACATAACGTTGTTTTACGCGACAACATATAATTTGTTGAAGAAAAAATGACCATATTGAAATTTGGACTGAGCCAAACCGGACCAAATGGTTGATTTACCTAACTTATTATGTTGTTTTGCGCAATACATAAACTATTACTTGAGAATTAAAAGTGTGTGATGTGCATTTTAAAGACGACATGAGAGTGTAAACTTTTTATATAATGGATGTTGCCTTGTAAAGCAGAGGTAACCCAAGTTTTATGAAAAATTTTTAAATATAGTTAAAATGAACGAGATATTAAATCAATATTTTTTATAGTGAATTAAATTAGCAAGAAATAATAAACAAT